GAAGGGAAAATAAGTGAGAAGAAGACGCGAGGGGACACGAAAGATAGTGTTCAGGAGCTGCTGCTGCTGCATCGCGCTGCCTCCGGGGCGGAAGAACAAAGGGGGAAAAAAGTCTATGAAGGTGAAGGCTGCTGCTCGGTGAAGGCAGCCGACCGAAAAGGGACTTCTCAAGGTGCCGCAGATCTCGCGTAACGGGCTCGGAAGGGTCGAAAATTTGACTCTAGCACGCGGACTACCTTTGTCGACGATCCTTGCATCTGCATGTGTTCCCTCTCTAATGGCCCTCGCGTCAACGTCTAATCCACTCGAGTCTAATCTATTATATTTCTCCTTCCCTTTTTCATTTTCTGTTCCCTTCACTTCGGATTCTGTTAAGTCTAGTTAAGTGGGCCCGCGTAATTTATTCGCCGAGCTGTTTCTTTTTTTGTAACTTGCGTGGTTTTCGTCGGTTAAACAGATTGATTGCTTGGCATCCGTTGGACGTAAGATTCTCGGAAGAAGGAACAGCTTATGAGTCTCTTTTTGATTGCCTCGAGCTACCGAAAAGGCTGCATCTGTCAGCGCACCTGCTAATCTGATGTACCTTGATCCCAAGTCTTTCCTACGAACCCTAAATTATTCTCGTTCGCGTCTAACGATTCTAAGCTGTTTGTAATATCAGACGAATGTAACGATGACTTTAATTTAATTGTAGTTCAAATTCCTCATTATCAATTATTAACACTTGGACGTCACCACGGTGATGAAGGCTTTGTAATAAATTTTTTTAGGGTTATTTCATTGTGTTCGAATAACTCATTTAGAGACAAAAATCTACAGAAACTTCAAAGTATAATCCATGAAAGGATTAAACAATAATAGAAACATTTCTATGATTATCATTAGAACGTAATGTCGCACATATGTAGCATCGAGCATCAAAGAATTGAGAAAAAAAATTCTGTTTCGTAACAGTAAAAGCTACTTGAACTGAAGATGTGTAATGCATAATAGACAAACACCGGTTATAAAACACTGATAGGTAGCTTTACCAACGGAAGTGACGATGGAGCAAAAAATAATTGCAATGACGCGGGTAAACACGTTACATAATTTAAGTGTCCTCCTTCTTGCTCTTTTCTTTTCACTCTGCACAGGGTCAACAGAGTAAAAAATTGTTCATTGTTCTCTTCAAAAATTTATTAAAAAAAAAAAAAAACAAGAAAGAGAAATATTCACAAAAGAAACTGTTTTTTAACCATACTCTAATCCCATTTAACTGCTTGAAGCTTTGATATTTAAAAATGTTAAAATATTTTTTATTGAAAGATAATATACAAAAGAATGATCACTATAATGAAATAAGTCATCTTACCTTCTGCTTACTCGTTTAAACAAAAAAAAAAGAAAAAAAAATTCTATTCTATTTTAACCAATTTCTAACTCGCAAGTATTTCATAGAACATAAAGCATAGCTTCAAACTCATTGAAGCAGATTCATCCTCAAAGTTCTACTTCCTAAGCTCCGCGTGTTTCACAGGCCACATAAAATAACCATGACAGATCATAGACTCAGGGCAAATACCGGCGCACCGGTCAATTTGTTCTTGCCTCGCCGTCTATACAGCTACACACGCACGCACACGATCTCGAACGTCCAATCAAGACTAATCGTTCGCATGATTCCTATCGATCACCGCGGAGACTTTTTCACGAGCCAACTCGTGTAACATGCTGGTCTTACATGCTTCGACGCGGCAGGACGAGAAGCGACAGGAAGTGGGCTTCGAGGCTCGTGCGCGCGCGGAAGCTACGATTAAATTGAATCTACGATAGTCACAGTCGATATTTACGCCGCGCAATTACGTCGCGTTTTAATAAACCTCGCTGGAACGTTTGTGAACCACCGCCGATGGCAAACGAGGAGAATGAATAAGAAAGAGGCAAGAAGAGGAGAAGAAAGAAAAAGAAGAAGGAGCCAGTCGTTTCGAGCTAGAATCGCCCTTAATTTGCGCGTCGGTGCACACCGATAGAAGAGATAGAGAAAACGATGCGTGAGAGAAAAGCAGGACAAGAGACGTATATTCGCGGCCGGTACCGTAGACAAATGCACCGGCATTCCGTCCAATTATCCCGGCCGCGTTCCAGCGACCGACGAGATAAAGCGTCTCCTTCGCGAGGAGAGGGAAACACCCTCGCACAGAGGCTGGAAAAATCGAGCGGAATCGTTTCACCCGATCGTGCAATATTTGTGTAAATATGGAAACGTGACACAAGATTTAGGTTCGTCTTCGTCGGTGGATCGACGATCTCTCTAATCGTTGGAGAGGGGGTATTCAATCGAAACCAGTTCGCCGGGTACAAGCGACGAGCGACATTAGCGATGAGTTATTGCGAGGGATGGAACCGGGATCCGGGAAAAATGATCGGTGAATGGTCACGAGATTACCGCGGTTTTTCTGCGTTAATGCCACGATTTTTCTGCCCCTCGGGACGATCGATCCTCCGCATCTCCTCTCCTCTCCGGTGGATTCTCCGGCGTCACGCGATTCCCGCCGCGAGGAACGCGTCTTTCAACTGCGACTTACGTACGTATATATGTATATATTTCTTTTTCTTAATAAATCGATCGAGTTTCCATTCAGAATTGGTTGAATTCAGACGTCGATTTTCTCCGAGTTCTACGCGCTTTCGCGGCACGTAACATTCTGGTCTCGAGACAAATCGCTCTCGATTTCAATCCCTTTATCTTCCACTATCGAGAGATTACACACGACGTGCTAGTAACAAACTGCTCGATTAATTTCGAATCGAGAAGAGAAGTTGGTTGTTTTCAAGAATTTCCTGTAAACATTCGGCATTTATATATAGAAATGTTTCATTACTACTAGAGAGATTCTTGTATCTTATATGAATCGGGAAATATTTTTGCAACGAGCACTCAGCATTGCTAAATACGCATGAAGCAATAAAGTAACTATCGCATGTGTAATATTCGTTTATCAATATACCGAATAATATGTCCGTATCGATATAAAATTAAATTAATAAAATACGTCTATCGTTTTGATTTCTGTAATTCTGTAGAGGTCTTTTTCGTCCTTCGAAACGAGAAATCGAAACGTTCTTTTGAACGTGCAGAGGTACATCCTCGTTATTCTAGTTTGCCGTTCCAGTTTGTGGAGAAATGGGAATGTTTAGCAAATCTCACGCATCGCGCGTTCAAGCACGATCAACAGGCGTGCGACGATTATAGGAAACGCCACTTTTCAGATTGGCGACCTAGGCACGTCGACGGCCGACATCCGGGGCGGCCTGTTCCTGTTCTGGACCAGTCCCGGGGACAGATCCCTCGTTGAACGGGGAACGAACTCTCGGGTGTGACGATCGGACGCGCAGGACGAGTCTTCCTTCGAAGCCTGCGGGACCAGTTCACCGCGTCGTCGCTTCCAACTCCAGTTCGAGGGAACGAGACGGATAGACAGCGCTACAGGGGCTACGAGCGAGCGAGCGAGCGAAAGAGTGAGAAAGGTTCTTTTTCTAGAAAGAGAACCTTGAAGAGGGAATCGAAAGGAACGAGCGAGCAAAAGAAAAAGAGAAAAAGAAAGAGAGAGAGGGGAGGGGGAGGGAGGAGTACAGCGACTGAAAAATCCCCTACATAATTATTCGCCGCGAAGGTCGTCCTGTGCGTTACGCGGCGGACGTGTGAGTGCGTGCGTGCGTGCGTGCGTG